TTCACGGCTGTGCCTAGCATTTTTGTGGGTGTGGGGGATTCAAACTCGGAGCCTTATGCTTACCTGGCAAGCTCTCTTACCCTCCTGAGCAATCTCTACAGCCCCAAGCTGTAGTGTTTTAATAGAAGAATTAAATGCAGTTGGCTGCAGGAAAGAAAAAGTGACAGGACAAGAAAACACAGACTGTTTTCTTCATCCATTTAAAGCGTGCCACCTAGGGGAGCATGCTATGTACCCATCACAAACGTATGAAAACCATCAATCCTGTGCTTGCTCCAGCAGCGCATATACTAAAATTGGAACGATACAGAGAAGATTATCATGGCTCCTACACAAGGATGACACACAAATTCGTTAAGCATTCCATATTTTTTTTGGGGGGGGGGAGTAGAGCGCAGAGTGTCTTATGGAAGAAGGGGAGTGATAGGAGAACATGGAGGGGACAGGAGTCCCAGAAAGAGACCAACAAAGCCTAAAAATCTAAGCCCAGGGGGTCATGCAGGGACTGATGCAGCAACCAAGGACCATGCATGGAGAGGACCTAGACCCCCAGCTCAGATGTAGCCGATTGGCAGCTCAGTCTCCATGTGGGTTCCCTAGTAAGTAAAGCAGGGGCTGCCTCTGTAATGAACTTGGTTGCTGCTCCCTGATCACTTGCCCCTGGTGATGTGGCCTTACCAGGCCACAGAGGGAGAGGATCCAGGCAATTCTGTTGAGGATTGATACACTACAAGCAGATGGCAGAGGAGGAGAACTCCTCCCTTCAGTGGACTAGGGGAAGGAGACAGAAAGGGGGGGGGGACAGAAAAAAGATGAGATGGGGAGGAATTGAGGGAGGGGGCTTCAATTGGGTTAGGGTTAATGAATAATGAATAAATTGTGAAAAAAATTAAAATTAAAAAAAAAAGAAAACCATCAATTCCATTTGGCCTGTTCTGCTTGTGTTGTCTTGGACTCTGACCTAGGCAGAGACATAAGAGATCCCTAAGCATTTCAAAGTCTCCCTTAGGTGGTCAGTTTTATTTCTTCCAGATATTAAGCTGATGCTGATTAAAGAGGCAATTCTACACGTGGATACTGTACTTGCTGGCAGTAGGGCTTCTGCCTTCCTAAAACAGGAAACCACCAAACTCCAGCAGCATGCAGATGTCTGTACCAGCTAAATGCTGCCTGATGCAGAGAGCTGAGACAATGGGCTTCCCAGGTTCCAAGAAAAACACGCTATCAAGGACTGACATACAATTAAGTTTGACTGTACAGGGATTTTGAATTTCTAACCTTTGGGGAAGGTGCTAAGCAGAATTTGCCTGTAGATAATTTTTCCCCTCAGCAAATTAACACTGTGGAGACTTGAGAAAGGGCATGGAACAAAGTTCTCAGGCAAATCGGAATTTGAAAAAATAACCAGGTTTATGCATCTCTATAAGCACATACCCTACCTACCTCTACATGCAAACATTTCATAGAAACATGGAACAATAGAGCTGGCAGAGGCCTCAAGGCCATGTAGTCCACGTCCCTCATAATAGAAACAGAATGACCCCAGAGAGGGGAAACAGCTCTCCCATGACCACTCAATTTGTCACATACAGAATGGACTATAATGGCGCAGCATAAGCATGTACCTTTTGGATTCCACTCTGTGGCCTATGTCTAACACGGTATTCATGACAGGCGATGTTTGTTAGTCGGCTTGACAGGCCACAGGATAACCAACATTTTATCCATGGACTGGGTAAAGGGGAGTTCTCTTCCTGCTGTGAGTGGACCTCATCCAAGCAGCGGGAGGCCTGCGTATGATAATGGGGATGGCTTTCCCTCAGCCAAGAGGGAAGCGCTCTCCACTTACGGCTTTAACCAGGACATCAGCCATTCCTAACCTTGGCTTCAGACTGAAATCAACTCTTGGTCTTGAGCCTACAAACTTCTGGTCTGGAATTCATGGCTGTGGCTCTGCCGGGTCTCCAGCTGGCCTACTGCAGATCGTGGTATTTGCAAACTTGTAGAATTTTGAGAGCTGGTTCTAATCAACTGGCACAGTACTATGAGCTCCATGATATTATGATGGAGCTGAAAAGGCCCTGTTGCATAGTGATGCCATGGACATTGTGGGACTACGGCACGGTATGTTACCAGTATGAAGCCAAGTATACACACAGTCAAGTAAAATGTAAAATGGTCAATAAGTGATGATGTTAGTAGGATGTTACTGGTTTCTTACGCTGTACTTTGAGATTTTAGAGCATACTGACAAAAATGAGCTCACTGCAGTAAGGATATTGTGTTCTTACACACACGATGACAAAATCATCTCATGATATTCCTCAGCATGTAGCCCACCGTGAAGTGACATATGACAACACACACACACACACACACACACACACACACACACACACACACACATACACACACAGAGTTTCTCTAATAAACTTTTAGTTCAACAGGATAAGAGGATGAAAAATTATCTGAACGGGATGCAGAGACTGTGGATCGGTTATCCAAAGCCATTCATACTCCTCTTCTCCAAGGGTGAAAAGCTGAGATATATTCCTCCAGCCTCTTTTAGAGCTACAGGTGGCCACACGACACATCTCTTAACAATGAAGTGTAAGTCCACATCCCTAAGAGGGCCTACCTTGCCTTCTGGCCTCTACAGCCCCTTCTCTTCCCTGTCTGGAGCTTGAACACAACAAATAGGTACAAGGGACAGCAGCCATCTTGGGAACATGAGGACAAAAATCACATGCTAGGGAGTGAGAAGTTCTACAGAAGAAGAAGAAATGAGTTGGGAGCTGTCTTAGTTACTGTTCCGTTGCTGGGATGAAACACCATGACCAAGGCAATTTATAAAAGGGGGCATTTAGTTGGGAGCTTGATTACAGTGTCAGAGGGTTAGTCTACGAGCATCATGGTGGAGAACACGGTGGCAGGAAAGCATGGCACTGGAACAGTAGATGAGAGATCACATCTGATGTGCAAGGTACAGGCAGAGAGCAAGACACTGGGCCTTCCAGGAATTCTTGAATGAATGAATGTGTTGCACTTAAGATCAATTTGTGTTCACACTTGCTTTATTGTGACTATAATGGTTAGGAAACTATCTGGCCACAAATAAGGATAGACAAGACTGCTTTTGATATTGAGGTCTGTTAGAAGTACTCTGATCTTAAGTGCAACACATTCATTCATTCAAGAATTCCTCTTATTTAGAAATATTTTTAAACTGTATTCATTCGTTTATTGTGTGTGGAGGGGTACACACATACCAGAGAGAATGTGTAAAGGTCAGAGGACAGCTTGTGTTTGTTCTCTCCTTCTACCACGTCGATCTTGAGGATAAAACTCAAATTGTTGGGCTTGGCAGCAGGTATCTTTACCCTGAGTCATCTTGCTGGCCCTGCTCAAGAAGATTTCAAAGGCCCATCCTTGAGAAATGTAGATGAATTAAACCTTCCAACTAAGGGCTGTAAGGAAACCAGCTCGGTTCCACTCTAGATCATAGTCTGCAAGAGGTGGGGTGGTGCGAGGGGGACCCCTGTGACTTCTAGTGTGACACCAGAGTAGATCGAATCTTGATCTACCAACTTTTCCTACTTAATTCTTCATTCTTTCTTTTCTTTGAGACAGGGATGTCGCTGTGTAGCCCTGGCTGACTTGAAACACGCTTTGTAGACCAGGCTGTTTTAGAACTCACAGAGATCTGCCTGCCTCTGCCTCCCGAGTTCTGGGATTAAAGGTGTGTGTCACCATGGACTCTTGGATTAGAGGCATGTGGCACCACTGCAGTTCTTAAAGTTCCTCTTAATGCAACACTGTTGCCACTGGGCGGTGGGGAGGGGAGTGCCCTCCCATCCCCAAGCTCCCAGAAAAAAGACTCATGAGACTCAAAATAATTTTACAGATACCTAGGCTGTATAGCCAGGCTCTTCTCTGACTAGCTCATAACTTAAACAACCCATTTTACTAATCTACATTTTGCCATGTGGCTGGTTACCTTGGCTCAGGTACTATCTGTTCATCCTCCTCACATCTTGCTGGTTGACCCTCCTGTTCCTGGCTCTATCCCACAATCTTTTCTGCTTGCCATCAGATTTATTATTGACATGTTATGCTTCCATACAGACACAAGAGATTCCTACTACACAAAACCAATATCTGCTTTTTCTAGTATTTAGATGGGCTCATGGCCCATTCTCTAGAAGTAAGAGCGATCATCTCTCCCCACTGTTAGTGATGAGAGAAGCCACAGGTGGCCCCAGGATAGGGCAAAAATAACTTGGTTGAGCTAACAAATTTGAATGGGAGACCTGGTTCTGTCAGATTTTCCTTTAGATCATCCTAGAGGTGTACCCTGAACCTGCCCGAGTTTGGCTTCCCAATTTATTTATAAATATTGGCATTAAATGAGATAATGATAATAAAAGACATCTGATACTGTACATCGACAGAAGTGAGATTCCATCAGATAACCGGATTGTGTGCAAACTAAAGTAAACAGGTTCAAAATGAGGATGTATATGAGTAATTGGAGAGCAGTTCATTATCTTTACGGCATTTCTTTTGGCTCTTCTTCCTTCCTCGGAGAGTAAGAACTGTGAGATAAGCGAGCTCCATCTGACAAAGCGCTGCAGAAGAGAGCCCTATGGAATGAACTCAGAAGAACTAAAGACAAAATACTACTCGGTGTGTTTATTGCTGAGCAGTAACTGTTATCAATCATAACAATTCAGCCCTCTTAATGTAGGCTCTAATGGCCCTCTGGCCTGTCATATCCTTTTAATTACATGTTTAATGTCATGTCATCAACACCTATATTCCCATGATACTCTAAGCCCCATAGATCTTAAATCTCGTCTTGGCAGGAGACAAAGGTCCCAGGAAATAAAGAGTGCAGCTCTGCTCTACTTACGAATGCACTTCAGAGCAACAGCGGAGCTCCCCAGAAGGCCTTTCAGACACCACCACGGAACATGTCAATCTGCTTTCACGCCACCTACCTTGTCCTGCGTTTGGCATCGGATGCAGTCACATTCAAAGCAGTACTGGTCCCTCAGCTGCTTCCGGCGCTCCTCACTGGTCATCAGCATGTCCAGGTAGCAGATGGTGAGCTGTGGGGACCGAAAGGGAAAGGCTTATGTGGCTGGTGTGCTCATTTTCTTCTATTGTTATCACAGCTAATTCTTAGAGTCAGACACCAACAGGAGCAGGAGGGAAGGCGCCCCCTACAGCTCCTACCCAAATGATTAAAATGCATTTTTTTTTCTTTTCTGCCTCAGTGTAAGCACACAGACATTACATACTAAAAGAATTATGTTTATGACCTTGACACACTTTGTATGTATGTTATCTTTGTTTTTTTCCCCCTTTCATTAAATAATAAAACATCAGGAGTTATTTCATATATGGTATCATTAAGCTTTGGTTATAAATTCTATGATAATTGGAGAAGTTCACTCTGGACATCAAATGATTGACAGATGATGTAGACAGATTGGTTGATTTTATAGCTGTCTCCTGGAATTTAGGGCCATCTATATTTGATAGTTTTGAAATTGGGACCTATTGGTCGCTTGTTATGTAGTTTGTTTGTTTTTTTTTTTTAATGGATGGTTTATTGTTTAAATTTTTAATTATTTAATTTAATTATTTAAAAATTTAAAATTATTATTATTTATTACCATTTATTCACTTTGTATCTTGGCTGTAGCCCTCTCCTGGACTCACCTTCCCTCCTTCTTCCCTCCCTATGTCCCTAACCTTAGTCCATTGATAGGGAAGCAGATGCTGAGACTCAGCCAAACTTTGGGCAGAGTGCAGGGAATCTTATGAAAGAAGGGGGAGATAGAAAGACCTGGAAGAGACAGGAGCTCCACAAAGAGACCAACAGAACCAAAAATTCTGGGCCCAGGGGTTCTGCAGAGACTGATGAATCAACCAAGGACCATGCATGGAGGTGACCTAGACCCCCTGCTCAGATGTAACCCATGGGCAGCTCAATCTCCATGGGGGTTCCCTTGTAAGGGGAGCAGGGGCAGTCACTGGCATGAACTAGGTTGCCTGCTCTTTGATCACTTTCTCCTGGTGAGGTGGCCTTACTAGGCCACAGAGAAAGAGGATCCAGACAGTGCTGATGTTACATAGTTTTTTTTTAAAAAAGTGAAATGATTTTCAAAGAGGGAAGGGTGTGGCGTCAGGAAGGCTTTCTGAGGTGGATTTCCTTGGTCCTTTGAAGCACAGTAACTCAGGCCTGCTTCAGAAGGGGGAAAGTCAAGGTGAAAGGGCAGACTAAAGCTCCAAAGAAGTCCAGGAATCCGCTTTGGGCCTCTGGTCTAACACAGCATGGGCATAAACACATTTCCACTTGGCGGAATCCACAACACACAAAAACCGAATTCATGACAGCAGTACAGAACTCTTGTCCACTCCCCACAGAGCATCCTTAGTAGGGGAGGGTGAGCAATACTCCTATTTCATGTTGTTCAAACTGAACCTTTGACTCTACCATCCAAATCCACCTGGAAGCTCTGCTGGATCTACATTAAAAATGCATCCAGAACCGACCACTTTCAATCTTCCCCAATGTTACATCCCAACACCACCCATCCCCGCCTCAGGATGGGTTCCTCCCTGCTTCTCTCCCTGGAAGCAATCTCTCTGCATTCTACCTTCCAGCCTTCACCACAACAGAAGTCAGACAGGCTTTCTTCAGTTTGAAATACTGCAACAGCGCCCCCTTTTGTCCAAGGAGAGTCAAGATCTTACAGCTCAACCTAAGCGTGTGGCCCCTGGGTGGTGTAGGCTCTAGCCGATGATGAACTAGGAGGGGAAACACAAAGTCCCTGTTCAGAAACGTGTTTACTATTTTGGTAAGAGCTGTGTGTGTGTGTGTTTGTGTGTGTGTGTGTGTGTTTCTAATGATAAAATATTGTATTGTTTTGTTTTGTCTACTGCATTTGCATTTTCATTTTTCTAATTTGGTGTGAATATTAATCTGTGATGTCCAGAGCAAAGTATGGTTCTTTCATCACTGGGGACAGCTGCTCCCGCTCCCTCCCTGGACGCTCCCTTCCCCCTTTCCCTTCATATTCCCACTTCTGGCCTGAGCTCTCCCAGATCCACCAAGGTGGCCTCCCTGGTCCTCTTCAGTTTCAGTCAAATCCCCTGTTCCCAAGGAGGCCTAACTGACTGCCTATTTAAAATGATGGCTGGTTCCCACCACACCCAGGCTCCTCCCTCGCCTTGTCCGGTTCCTTTTAGTCCTGTAATGTATATCAGCTTGTAATGTACTGTATAAATGACTTATCTGCTTTCAAATGCAGAAAGTAATTATGGGGGTGTGAGTGGTGGGGGGAAGGGGACACTGTAAGGAGAAGGAAGGCAGGATTATCTGCTGAGAGGGTTGACAAAACTCCCTAGAGCAAACACGCCATGTGGTTTTCCCTATACTGAAAACAAGGCATCACGTGTCTACTAAACATGATTTTACTTGCTTGAAGTCAAGGTAGGGCAAGGAAGGCCTCTGACAGAAAATGACTCCAAGGTGGCCTCCTTAAAGCTCCATGAGGAAGACGAAGTCTGGCCAGCCACTTCTGTCAGACCCTTACGGTCACCAGGATGACAGAGTAAAAGACCCGAGCTGACTCCCTGGCTCATGATAGGGTCTCTGTGTGTTAGAAAGCTAGGGGTGCGGCCTTCCACAAGAGAACTGCCCCAGAAGCACAGACCTTCTGAACATCTTCTGTGAGTGTGGCACTCTTGCAGTAGCATGCAACAGTGAAAACCGGATTGGGATTTGCGTTCAACCTGATTTAAGACTGACTGATGCCCCTTCACCTGGCAGGGGCACCTTTCTCAGGGTGGCGGTGGAACCAGACACCAGAAGGAGCTGATACAGCCCCCATCACAGTACAGAGTACAAGCATGGCAGGCAGAGGTGGCAACTGGGCTCCTTTGGTCAAGACGCTGATCACTTTCTCATTTCCCCCATCTTTCTCTTGCACTTTGATCTGAAGGCAGGGTCACCTCAAAGGCGAAGGGCTGCGCTATGAGGCCAGTTCCCGTGACTTCAAGGATACCATGCTCCAGGGTGCAAGCAACCAGTTTCTACGCATGTGTTCTGGAACATCTTTACTGGGAGGTTTGGGAGTGTTCACTCACCCTGTACTCTCAGGCTCTCTGGTCCTGGCTCCTTACACGGGTGAAGAGGTGACTATGCTCCCTCCAGAATTCATTCCAGGCCCCTGTTTCTCACCCTAGCCCAAAGACCACGAACCGCTAGCCCCCACTATCAGGTCAGGCTGATGGCAAACGTTCGTGAGTAATTGCTAGCTGCTTTGAAGCTACCAAATCCATGGTGTCTAGTTCCAAAACTGCATAAGTAGGGCTAAAACTCATGAGTGGTCATGCCAGGCAGTGAATGGACAACAGGAGTCCAGTTACAACACTTATCCCCAATAAATAGAGTCTCACAGTCTTTCTCAGTAGCCTGTAAGTGCCTCCAGCCTTGACCCCAGCAATGGCTTTCTAACTTGCCACCTCCCGCTGGCTTCTGCTATCTTTTACCTTCTAAACTACTCAGAGACAGAGACAGAGACAGAGACAGAGAGAGAAAGAGAGATTACTTCCTAACACAGCTGATCGCATCGTTCCTCTATGTGAAGACTTCAGATAGCGTCTCCCCGTCTATGGATGGAGCCACACAAGGCTTTTTTCCTACCTCCTAGCCTCAATGTCTTTTCCTGTGCCTCAAACACTGTCTTGACTGTAGAGCTCTGTCTCTGATGTGTATGACATCACTGTGATTCTGTGCCCTGCTGCCTACCTCAGTGCCCTTTGCTCACCCTCATCCTTCACGATTGGCTTAAAATGCCCCTTCTTTCACAGAGAGGGACTTGCGAACTATCCTATAACAAATGAGGGGCTCAGTGGAAAACACATCCCAGAAGTACACAGCCAGCTTGAAATTTTACCAAGCACACAGCTAGTTCAATCAATTTTATCAGCCAGAGATAAAAACCTTTATTAAAGGCTCATAGATTCACAAGTTTAAATGGAGCCAGTGCTCACTACATGTAGGGCTCATTTAGTGGGCACATACATACAAAACTTGGCCATTGATCAACTGATGCTTTAATGGCAGAGAACAAAGTCACATTAAGATATTAATGCTCTGACCATTGCTCTGCCATTTAAGTGTAACTCTTACAGAAAAACTGCATGAATCATTTCCAGCTTTAGAGTAGTATCATAGAGGTTTCTGGGACTTGATTATGGTACTCTGTTCAAATCGCAAGGCAGAGAAAATCTTTTTTACCTGAAACCATCTTTTCCAACAACAACAAAGCACAGAATGAAGGCAAATCTTGTTTTCCCTTCTGCAGTATTACTGTCACAGTTACACATTTTCCCCAATAATGGCTCTGAACTAAAAAAAGAAAAAGAAAAAAAGACCAAAAAAAAATCGCTTCTTTTAAAAGTCAAACCTGAATGTCACTTCTTTCCCTTTTCTTTGTTACACAAATTCTATTAATTTTGGTTTCTAAATATTGTATTATTCACATCCTCTCTTCTGGGCCACGTACCGGTCTCCTCCTGACTTCAACTCTTGCCTAGAGGGACAGCCTGACCCTCCTCCTCTCACACTTGCCCTCCCATCCTTCTTCTCAGCTTCAAGGATGGCCCATTGCTTGGTCCTCACCCTTCTGCAAATACTTACTGGTAGCCTCCCACACAGCAGATACTTAGGAAATCCTTTGGTGAACAGCATTCTGGAAAAAGAAGCCCTAGACACTGGCCCAGGCTCTATATATCCTCCATTGCTGGTTGAAATAGACTGATGTGAAGCAATTCTACTCGCTGAACTTTCCACGCTGCCTCTGGCTTCTTGCCTAGAACAATGTTTCCTGGGCTGTCTGACTTTCTCTCTATAGATCCTTTCAGATACAGAGGCCACTTCTCCATATGTCTTCCTTAATTGTCCCCTGACCCTGGCACCTTATTCCGCCTCGGGTGCTCTGTTCTGAGTGTCTGTGGAGCCCTGGGCACACTCAAGCCGCCACCACGCTTCACATGTTCTGTTACTGCCTTCTGTTCTGTGTCTCCCTCCTCCGCACGAGAAGGCCATTCTGATACACGTATTCCTCAGAGCTTCTTGAATGGCCACCCAGCTCCCGCCACCTAGCAAGCCCTCTGTGAATTTGTTACATGTGCAAGCAAACAGTGATTACTGAATGAAGAATCAGACAGCCCCAATCCCCAAACACTTAAAACAAAAAATGACATTAGGGATAGTCATGCAAATTGGAATCCCAAGGGATGAGACCCCAAAGGACGCTGAAACATTGTGTTGGTTACAAGAGCTCCAAGTTCTTTTAGCCAGGGCTTCACAGGAATGTGAATGTGAATGTGAGGCCGGCTGGCTGGCTGTGCTGGTCCATGTTCTGTGAGACTTGAGGCTCTCACGTGTTTCGTAGCCTAAGCATGTCTGAAGGGCAGCCTTCAGCAATCCAGCACACAAGTCAAGACATGTGAGCAGGGGCACATGAGGCCAAATCACAAACATTTCTCCGTTCAAAGTAGCTGGATGAGACTTTTAAACTGCCAGAACCAAAACAAAAGACTCAACTTTCATGACTCCCGACGTCCTTACATTGCAAAGTGCTGCAAATGGAGCTACTTGGAAGGGCAAGGGTCCAAAGGCGGCCCAGAGGATGGTTTCACGTAGAGAGAAACACAAGGTAGGGGACTTCCAAGCCAAGGTCTGTTACTGTGAGGGTTTCTAATTTTCCCAGCTCTCCTTGTGGGCAGGTTACAATGTTCCATCTCAGACTCATGGTGGAATAACTTTCATGGTTCTTCCTGGAGCCATGTGGTGTACGTAAAGATGTCTGGTGGCTGAAAAATGGCTCCATAGCACCACTCTGCCTCTTGTTTTACCTTTAGGAAGCCTCATTCAATACACATAAACAGGGCTATGATGTAGCCCAATGATAGAGGGCTTCCCAGCAAGCATAGGCCCTGTGTTTGATCCCTAGAGCTACAGAAACAGAAAACAATAAACAACCAACAACAATGCACACACACACACACACACACACACACACACACACACACCCCACTTAAAAGTCTTCTCTTTCTAGAACCTTCTAGTCTTTCCTCTTGGGCTTATATTCTGGTACTTACATCCCATGTGGCCCACATCAGAACAGGGGCACCTAGCAAGCATCAAAGCCAAAATGCAAACTTGATGCTACAGAATTGCCAAACTTTAAATTGACTCTTAACTAGAGCTCACATCTGACAATAAGTAGGAATTAGCCCTCTTAGCCATGACCTAAAAATGTCTTCTGTATCACTCTCAACTCCTGCATGCCTTTGTTCCATGGCCTCAGCTCTAAAAGTTTGGGACATTATTTGGTTGGTCATAGCCATGTGGCATTAACTGGGCAGGGCCTAGAGACACACGTCGCCTTGAAGATCCACAGCCCCACGGAACGATGAGCTATTCCACCCAACGTCCTGCAGAGATATGCTGCTGGTCTCAGTCAGCTCAATCAACAGAATCAGTTCAACAGAGCGCCAGACACTTCCCAGGTGTGAAGCAAAGTATGGGGAGACAGAGAAAGATGCAAGCCCCAACTGCCTGTTCCTGTGAGGTAGCTGCTAAATAGAAAAGTCACCCAGAGCCAGTATGATTGCCAAATGCACATTATTAACCACTAAGAGGAACAGTTCAAGCTGGGTGGTAATGGTGCATGCTTTTAATCCCAACTTGGAGGCAGAGGCAGGTGGGTCTCTGAGATAGAGGCCAGCCTGGTCTACAGAGTGAGTTCCTGGACAGTTGGTGCTGTTACACAGAGAAGCCCTGTCTCAGAAAACCAAAAGGAGGAACAGTTCAGAGGAAAAGCCCTTCCCTCTGGGAAATCAGAAAAGCTTTACAGATGAGAAGGCCTTGGAGGGTACATGATATGGAGACTACCAGAAATGGTGCCAGGCAGAAGGCTGGCCAGCCATGCACAGGAAATGCCGTTCACCAAGATGTGCACAATGGGAGCACGGGCAGTTTTGTTTTCTGACAAGAGGATGCAACAGAGGCCTAGGAGTTGAGAAGAGTCCTGGTCGGCATCACAGAGGGGAAGCACCTCAGCCTTTAGGGCCCAGTAATGAGCGGATCATTTCCCCTGGGCAAGAAGAATAACTTACGTGTTGCCCCAGAGACAGAGGACAGAAAAGAGTGGAACAAACTCTAAAAACAGATGTTTGCTTTTGCTTCTTTTTTTAAAACTGCCTAAAAAACAACCGAGAAGAATAACTGGTAGCTTGCTTAGAAAACCCCACCCCTTTCTTGTGTTTTTTCTTGTTTGCTGATGTTCATCCAGTGCTGGAAACTGAGCCTGGAACTCCATACGTGCCAGGGGCTCTGCCTCTGAGAGATACCGTAGCCCTTGTTTGGTCAAAACACCATCACTGTCAACAGCCACTGTTGCCGTTAAATGACCTACGGTGAGTCACCTTAACTGTCCGCTTCACTAGGGGATGATGAAAGCGCACCTCTGCTGCTTATCTACGAGGGAGTTCCCAGGGACAAGTAGTTCAGCACAGCTCTGACATGAGGGTAATCAGCTGATGTCTTCAAAACTTGAATAGACTACCGGGAAGAGGCACACCCGAGAAAGGTGGAGCTCGGTTGAGGATGAAGGTCACTGGGAATGACAGGGCCCTGGTCCCCTCGTTATAGCTCCACTCTGTCTACCATGACGTGAACTAGCTCTCATGACCTTGAGACAAACAACCCTTGTTACATAATATACTATCTTGCTACAGGCTCAGAAACATGGGACCGACTTGCAATGGACTGAACCCTCCAAAACATGGAGTTAAATAAGTAAGTCCTCTTTCTAAGTTGTTTAAATCAATTCTCAGTGGCACAGAAGTGACAAGTGCACAATAGTGCTGAACGTAGAAGAAGTTTCCTTTCTATCCCACTTTGAAGCCACATGACCCCAGAGAAATAAATCCAAATTCTCCATAGCATCAGCAGATATCACAGTGCACCCTGGTCCTAACGACTGGAAAGTCAGCAAAAGATGCTGTGTAAGAGGCAGGGTAACTTGGCTGAAAATAAGTTTGAAGGGAGTCTTGTCAAGGCCAAATCCTTGTCTCTATAAAATATGGTGTCTTAAGTTTAAGTTTTATTGGAAGAGTGCTGCATAAATGCCATAAAAGCTTATGGGCCTCCATTTTCCTTACAGTAAATATCCACTTTAGCAAATTGGAAGGCAGGAGGAAACAGAGTTCTGGAAAACACGACTATAACCAGAGCTTGGCATGGGTAGTAACTGTGCAAACTCCAGGCAGACTCTGTGTGGCCCAGAAACCCTGGAATGGCTTCTCTGTACTTGCCTGTGAGAGCTCAGGCCTCAGGTTTGGTCCCCCACCTAGGAGGCTGGCCTGGCCATCTACACAAAGCCACATTTGCAAATCGTGTTTGACCTTTGAATCTATGCTGAAACCATCACCCAGAAATGCTGATGGGTTTACAAGAGCCCAATGGCCAAGGCCTACAAGAGTAAATCATGTCTGCTTTCTAACAGAATTTAAACTATCTTCAAAGTGGCTTCGAGGATGAGCCCCGAGGATGCTACTGACAAGCGCGGTTGCCTCTCTGCCGATGGAAGGATGGCTGTTTGCTGCGATGTGACAGGCAGCAGAACTGTTGCTGCCGTGAGATTTAATGACTCCCATGCACACCCATAAGACACACAGCCTCTGTCACAAAAGAACATCTTTCAAACACATGTCACAGGACTACCATCATGAAGAAACCCAGTGACCAAGACGGAAAAAAAGGATACACAGATTTGTTTACAGTTTGGCTTGTAACTGTTTCAGGTGTCTTCTTGCTGGCAGAACAGCAAGGAGTCAGTCGTAGCTGGTTGTGGGGGGGGGGCATGCTAAGGGAGAGCAAGCAGTCGGGGGGCGTGGGTCTCCTTACCTCCTCTCCTGCCTCAATTTCTCGAACGGCACGCAATAAGAGGTGGGGCCCGTTGAATACTATCGAGCAGTTGGGGTCACAGCTGTGATTCAGCAGAGACATACTGAAGGAAAGAAAAAAAAAGAGGGGGCTCATCAATGCTCGGAGTTATACAGCTACATCAAACAGACACAACAGTCAAAAGATACGTTAGGTGGGGGGGCTGGGATGGGTTTGAAAGAGATGGAGACAGGACTGGGTTCTTGGAACGTTCATAAGCAGGTCCCTACCCTGCTTCATATGAAGTCGAATGCTTCTCATAATACTGGCTAATTAGGGAGGTTTGATAATGAAATCATTTTTTAGTCCTTTTGGGGAGTGGGTCATGTTAATTACCATCCAATAAGGTAACCCAAACGAAGGGTGTACTGACATGGTCACTCGTAAAGAGATCATCTCTGAGCTCACAGGGTACGGCAACAGTCACAGCAGTCACCTGAGGGGCCACTGGCCCACAGGGGGTCTCACTGCTGAGCTCTGGCAGGGGAGGGCTGTGAAGAAGAATCAGGGGCACATGCTCTTAGTAAGTCCTGATGCATTCTGGGAAGGAGCCTGGTCACTGTCTTTACCTGGATGTTTCACGCGGGAAAGGCAATGACTTTACACTGTCACCATGAACCGACAACAATGAGCATGGACTGTGTGGGCAGTACTTGCTGGGTACTGGGGCAGGGCGGCCACAGGCAGCCACCACAACAACCGTGGGAGGATTACTTACAGGTGAAGAGACCGATGCCGAAGACTCGTGCCCGACCTAGAAGCAGGTAGCCCGGGCTCAGAAACCCTGTACACTACTGCTTTCCCATACCTGTGCCATGAATAAACATGACCTACGACCAGTGACGTGCAAGGGCACTAAGAGAGGAGGCTGAGTCTCAGATGTGAGAAGACGTACTGTCTATGCTTGAACCCTAGGAGCGTAAAGATGGAATGGACATCAGGGTGGGCCTAGCACTGGGCTATGCGCCAGGGATAAAGGCTGCTGTAGTGATGGCTAAGGAACAAAGCAGCAGGCCACTCCTGAAGGCTCCTGAGCCTCTTCTAGAAGTGAGTGGAAAGCATGCTGGGAACCAAAGTCAAAGTTGGTCTGTTGGCACCATGTCTCAAGTCTGGGTGTTTCAGGACAGGAGGCGGAGGACAAAACTCAAGGGAGATTTGTAAGGGAAAGTGCCCGTAAGCCGCAACCTACCCCAAAGACTGCCTAAGAACGAGTGATTAGGTATGAAGTCTGCCTTGTCTTAATACCATAGTATATAACGTGGGTGACAAGACTTAACATTTTTATAGCCTCTCGTAAGTTAGTACTGAGTTTTGAGCGTGGCTATTGAGCTAGCTGCCACAAAAGCCTTTCTAATGACCCCTGAAAGGCTGGGGAGCTGGTGGGAGTTAGTTGGCTTGGGATGTCTGCCATACCTGGGGTACAGGCCAACGCCCACCTCCTGCATTTCCGCGTTGCAGATGGTGAAGGAATTGCAGATCACCTGTGGAAACAAGAAGGGGCGCTGTTAGATGTCTGCCTGAGAAGTCTCATGGGTGAGAGGGCAAAGGCCTGAGATTTTTGGGGGGCCGCTTAGAAAAATAAGTTCTCTAAGGCTCACTTCCCAATCCCAGAAAACACACTTGGCTTCAAGAAGCATGGAAACTACTGACTGTAGTCTCACCTCCCCCAACCCACCATATTCTACAACTCCATGAAATGCTCAAAATTCAAAATACAAATAAGCTACTCATTAAAAACTCAGCTCCGGTGACATGGATGTTTTTCAGACTGCTTGCCTGGTCCAAAGGCCCCTTTATCTTAGATTACAGCAGCAGGTTTGTTTTTATTCCTGCAAAGTGAAGTGCACCCTGAGGGAGTTTGTGATCCAAGCTGCCCACAGACCAGGAGGGGACAGGAAGCTGCTTTGTGGAGCCACAGCACTTACTGGACACACAGAACCCCTTACCGGGCCTGTGGCCTGTTGCTGTGCCCTTTGGGCAGATAAGGAGAGAAAGAAAAAAACATAATCACTATACACAAGGAACTTTAAAACCTTGTTTGTGCAGGAGGTAATGTGTCAGAGGCCAGAGAGTATGTGGAGAGCCCTGGGCTGGAGTCAGCGCCCTAGACCCTGGCACAAGACAATACTCAGACAATGAGAAGGAAAACCAAGGTCCCTGCTCTCACAGAACCTAAGCTCTACATGGTGACAGACATTTTTTAAAAGAAGAACTCCCTGTGACGGAGCACTTATCACTTGTGGAGGATTGCTAAGGAGAGAAAATGAAGCAAGTGAATGTGAAGAATTCTGGGAAGGGAGCTGCATCTGCAAACACAGGTTGTACTGACGGACTAGAACCTCAGAGAAGGTGGAACGCTGCAGGTCCAGAGTGTAGTTAAGACGCCTCTTGGGCTAGGTCTGAGGCATTCCTGACCTACCTTGGTCAGATGTAACACCCTGATATACAGGTAAAACCTCTGGAATAGATTAGCCTAACAAAGCCCTAATCTCCACCAATCAAAAGGCTGAGAACACTATCAGACAGCAGCTGAGGCAGACAGTTGAGACTTCTCCACACTGCTGTGACCTTTTCTCTAATGTTTCCACCAATGTAGCTTTAAAATTCCTTCCTTGATTTATTACTCTGTTCTGTTAGTATAAAAACCTCATGAAACTGCTTCAACATTGGGACATGGAATTTGGGGTAATTTAAATCTGTGGCTCCATGCCATGCCTGCTCATATTTGGCTCCAGAATAAACTATCTCATATTCCCTTTGAGGTGAGAGCTGTGTTTTTATGGCATGAACACAAGAAAAAGAGGTAAAGAACTAGCATGAGGTGGCATGTGGATGGAGAAGAGTGAACCTGGGCCTGGTTGGCTCCCCATCTACTCATCTGAGTTAGGACGGCCTTGATTCCAGGCTCTAAGCTCCGGAACAAAGGTTAGAGAGAGAAGTAGAGACAGTTTATTAGGAAAGAAAATGCACTTCTGCATACTGAGAGGAAAGCCCAAGGCCCTGGGGATATGGGGCAAGTGACCCTTTACAGCACATCTTCATAACCGACATTTGTACAGCAGGACTTTTCCTGAGCATGCTCAGTTCCTTGTGTGAAGCCCAGATAAGAAAGGGCTTCCAGTCTTTCTTTGCCACCTGGCTTCCTTTGTACGTTAATCTTGATGTAGCTTTCTTTCCTCACTGTTTATTCCCTATACACAAAGGTGAACGTCACCAGAATAAGATAAACAAAAAGTGCAGAGGCCTGGACACAGCAAGAATGCTGGCGTAGGCCAAGAAAGCAGTTAAGATGGGAGCAGAGAGGTAGGTCAGACTATCCAGGACTTTACAGCTACTCTGGGAGTTTTATTTTAAGTGAGACTCGAAGTCAAGGTGGAAACGAGTCTGATTTATGTTTGTGAATGATCGTTCTGACTGTAACGCACACACCGAGCCGTTCAAACAAAGGTAAGCAGGCATACGTAGCGCACAGGTCAGGGGTCAATTCATAACCCAGGCAAGGGCTTGGACGCTGGTAACCTTAGTGAGAGGGGTTGGCAACTCTGCCACAGACTTCACCGGGGCGCTGGGGAATGGAGTCACGGAGAAAGTTGGGATTTGGTCTGTAAGTGGCTGATCGTGGCTGTTATTTATTAAGGAAAGGAAGAATGCAGAAGAAACAAGTTTGGCACACAGTGTGGGGTGGGGACCCGGCTTTGTTTCGTTATGGTGAATTCCAAATGGCCCAGGGCTACCTCCAAGCCCTGACTAAATGAACAAATGGAGTTTGGGGAACAGGAAGGGCCAGAAACATAAATTTAGGGTGAAATGCAGAAAGCCCATTGAAAGGGAGGAGACACAACCACATTTGAGATAGACCATGACTACAAATGAATGCTGACTTGTTAGAGAGTTTCCGTACAGAAAAGGCTGAGATAGCTGAGATTTACAGGAGGGAGCAGAGAGTATGAAAAGGTACTCAGTCCTTCGAGGAGGCTTCACTGCTCCAAAAGGCTCTTACATGAAAGCTAAGCAATGTATCACTATCTGGCTTTTTTTCTTTCTCTCCTTTTCTGTTTCCCTAAAAAGTCTGATAAAACCACAGCTTCAAATCAGAAAGTAAACTGGTGCACAGACACATTTTAAACAAATTCTGGTTAAATTGCTTTACAGGCATCTGTTTTGTATTAAGCTGCAAGAGTGAAGGCCCAAACGTACGGTGAGTGACAAAAACACAAGGCTAGATATTCTGTGGTTATTTCTTGAAATTTTAAACATTATTAAATAGCTATGGACTGAGGGATGCGATTACAGATTGTAAATTGTAAAACATATTTTATAGTATATTCAGAACAGCAGGGAGAGAAATCCACCAACAAAAAGTCAGACTGAGCAAGTCACATTTGCTAACATTCTAATGAAATAATTTTTTTTCCTGAAATTTGAAGCAAACTAAAGGCTTTTCCAAAGTATTCTTATTCTGATGGACTCAGTAAGGATAAAAATCTAACACAGAAATACCAGCTTGGTGTCTTTCCCTGAGACACATTTCCTCATGTAACAGTTCTCATGCCTTTGGCAGCATTTATCACACTGGTACCACTGCCCACTGGTACCCTGCCCTAAGTTGCCCACTGGTAGCCTGCCCTAAGTTGCTCAGAGTGTTCAAAACAGTGTTTTTCAGATAGTGCCTTGCCCGAGACACCATTTTATACGCAGCTTTTGAATCTTCACCTTGAGGATGGCGAGCAGTTCTGTCCTGGGTGGACACATGAATGCCAATACCAGCATGACGCGCAATAGTAAGTGTCTTATTCCTGAGAGTACAAAGGGTATTACCCTATTAACTTATCGGGGTAAAGTGGGAGTATTGGAGAACATGAGGATATTTAAAAACATTCCATAGAAACCAGGCCCAAGAACTTACCAGACATACCAGACCAAGACCAGCTCCCTCACTTGGACCACATCATGAGTTGGTCCTAGCACTGGGACTGTAACGCTAGGTCAACACTCTGTAACCTGACCACCCCGTGTATGCCTCATGGGACCTGACCATCCCAGGGGCTTCAGTTTAGCTTACTTCCTACTGTTGACATGGCCTACTCAAATTGCCATCTCCCTGTTAGTCAGGTGGAACTTCCGTCCGTCCATCTACCTGGATCCAGGTCCACCTTTTGCTTCACCTGGTCCCCGAATCTCACTGCAACTAGCTAGCAAGCAGCACCCTACGAATCTTACAGACCTGGGTTACCTCACATCCACTGAGTCAGCTTTTTATTTCTATCAGAAAACCAGCTCTGCCTTCTCAGGCCTCTTAAGTCATTCTACAGCCTACATACATATTTTTTATAGCCATAGATATCACATGCATATTTACTATGTGACATGTGGTGTGTGGTCTGAAAGTTAATATTAGTAATTGAGGCTATTTAAGGAAAGCGAATAATCTGGCATATTGTTGTCAATGATACTGCAATGGCTTGTGAATTTGTTATCTAATAAATTATGACATTCTGGAGAAACACAATCATGTTTGCTCATTTCCAACACAGGGAGCTCCTGACATCATTTACTTGGTGGTGTGCAGACCCAGGCAGGAGGGAGGGCAGTGCCCCATTCTTGTATTCTCATGCCCACCACAACACCTGGTACACAGAAGCCACTGCTAGACATACTCATACAGATGGTTACGTCATAGATGTGGTCCTCGGCATTCCCAGGACGCCATTATCTAGAACACGGTCAGGGAAAATGCTTCATATCAAGAGAATAGTCCAGTGAGAGAAGGCTGACTATGGTAGGAGAGTGCTGACCAGGCAGCATCAGAGTGTTCACCTCTTCCTGACTCCCATCCCCACTACTACAAATGAAAGAGGAAATGTTCTGCGCACAAAATAATATCTGATGAATGAGTTCACGAGTGAGTTTCTTTCCTCTTTGTAAGCTTCTCTTACGCCTTCCCCTTTTATTCTTTTCCTTCCTTTCTTTTCTTTCTTTCTGTTTTTCATGGTTATCTATCTGTCACACTGAGCTCTGCGACACATTATATAGACGTAAGGCATTTTTAAATATTGCTTAACAAATTCCAGTCAAGTTCCTTCTTGGTGTTATTGTGAGAGTTCTGTACCATTCTTCTTGTGAATAAAAAAATAAGTTATCTGTCAACTCCCGCTTTTATTTAAAAAAATAAAATGCTGAGTCCAGGGCCAGTGAGATAGTTACAAGCCTGATGACCTGAATTTGATCCTGCAAACCCACAGTAGAAGAGGAGAGCAATTCTTGAAAGACACATAGAGTGGAAAGAGAGCGCCCTCCCAGAAGTTGTCCTCTGACCCTCTAAATGCACCGCAGATAATCGTACCCACCAGCCCGCCCACCTAACACATGCACACAAAATGATGGTGAAGAGCATGATGATCATAACAATGAAATGATGAGTCCATCCAGCACCACAATGATTAAGAAGAGGATGATTAGAAATATATATTTCACACAGGTC